GGGGGGGGCAGAGAGGGAAGGCATTGAGATATCAGATCTAGAAAACTTTGATAGAAGCTATTGATAATTAATCAAAATATATTGTTCATCATGGTAACTAACAAAACATCAGTGTCTTTTCTGGGTGTCTGTGTGTGTGTTGTGCAGCTTGTTGCTGTGCAGTGAGCAAAAGTTCCAAACCTTGGAAACTTAAACTTCTTATATCATCAAAAATACTTAAACATGTGGAAGGAGAATAGTTACTCGACTTTTTTTATGGTGAATAGCTTCGCAGTTCCGTGTAGGTGGGATTTAAAATGTAATTGAGTTACTGCATTTTACAGCTTAATCCCCTTCTACAAATTCATTGTCCAACTGACTGGATAGTTATTTTGGAAGTTTGGTATGTTTAAATACATGCCCCTCTGTTTCAGGTGACTACTGCTACTTTGTTTCATATTTTCATAAGCAAATTTTTTTTGCTTGGAAAGTGTTGCTGTGAAGGAGAAATAAAAACCTCTGCCTCAACAATAAGTGGTTATAGTCATGGTATAACTTGAGAGAGGGGTGAATTCTTCATCTCCCTTTTTTTCTCTCTTTTGCTCCTGAATAAAGGTATTACACAGCAGGAAAGAAATTGCTTCAAGCTTTTGCATTTTCAAGAAAAGGCAATTACAGTATTTACTCAAATCCAGGATGCTTCTAAATCTAAGTTGACACTACATATTGAATATTGATTTAGGGTGGAAAATTAAAATAGTGTGTATCTTTACCTTAGTAATACGAGGGTGAGGAATATTGATGGGGGAAGGACTTGCAGGGAGTCACTGCTGTCGTATGCTCTGTGTGACTGCTGTTCCATGGCAATTGCCCCAGCAGAGGCTCTAAGGAGGAAATCTGTACAGACGCTTGGATTTTGAATCTTCAAAAGACAAGTGTAATTGTGGGTTTGAGTGCAGGAAAATATAATGAAACTTTATGTAGGGAAGAGGTTATCCAAAATAAGTCAGAATGTACTGAGACAACTTCTTTAAAAATTAGTATAAACAGCAGAACAGAATACTTTTCACTGCCTGTTATTTTACTGCTTTCCAAACTCAAATATCACTATGCAAAGAACTTCAAACAAACAAACCCATCAAAAACCCCCTACAAAAAGACTGGACAAGACCCCATTTTGTTTAATGTGATTGCTCAGTAAGAATTCAGTTTGTTTATTTTAATGTTTTCTTTACAAATATATTTGATTTTGTTGCTCTGTAGATCTCTGGTGTTTAGAAAGTGCTAGGTGGGTGATAGTTATGTCTCTGGTCTGACTGTTAGTAAAGAATGTTAAAGGCTGAAGGGAATAGCAGAGAGCATAGGAAGGAAAGAATCATCTTTTTCAAGTCTTGAGTGCCTAGGTTTTACTTGTTTCTGTTTTCTGCAACATTCTGTCACGGGGTTCTTAGATTATTCTTTTTAAATATACTTCTGTGATTTTTTTATATAGTTTTTCAGGCATCACTAAAATGGAGTCATTTTCAGCTAAAGTAAAACGTCCTCTGTTTTGCACCTTTAGAATGCATATTCATCTGTCTTCAAATATCTTCAAAATTTCGATTATGCTTTTGATGGCTTTCTTTGGCAGGGCTACAATAGAGGAGGCATATTCAAGGTCAATGACAAAACTAGCCAAATCAGCGAGCAATTACACCCAACTTGGGTAAGTGACTGTACATAAGAGAGAAATAATTAACTGCATGTTAAGAATTGTTTGATTCTGAATATTTTATTGATGATGTTGAAGGTAGCATAACTTTGCCACCTTTAAAAATGATTGTTAGTTCTTCAGCAACTATACAAAATATCATGCAGCTATGACAAAAACAAAAGACAGCATAGTTCTTTATCCACAGTTTAAAAAAAAACCAAAACCCAAACACGGAGGAACTGTCTGCTCCTCTGTGTTTAAGGTTGAGTTCTTTTCAGACATAATAAAGAATGTGACTTTCTATTCTGTGCTCCCAAGCACAGAATTATGGTAATTATTCTGAAGAGAGAACATATGGTCCGTAAATGTGGCAGTAAATTTATTTATTTCTATTATTTCTGCTTTCTGGAGTGTTATCTCTGTTCTGAGTGTTATTCTGTTAAGAATGAGAGTTTTCAATAGATTTATTCTATAGTTCAATTAAAATTTTATACACAGGGTATGTTTTTAAAAATTGGAATTAGTAATGGATGTTTTTTCATTAGAAAGATTATGCTAACAACTCAGAGTTCTTAGATGAGGCTAGATTTTTTTTTTTATTCTTAGTAATCGCAGCTAGAAATGTGGGGAGCTTTCCTCAGTGGATAATTTGATACCAGTTGTTGCTGTTCTTCAAAGGTTCTGTAGCTGCATGTTAGTTTGAACATCAGTGCTTTAAAAGCTATGTATAGTATTCATTTTTCAGCAGCATTAACCAGGAAACTGACGTAGGAGTGTATCTTTAGAATAGCTGGAGAAGTCCATTCAGTGTAGAAATCTGAATCTGAGGAATGACCTGTCCCCCACCTTCCTTTGCCGTACGGTTAATCTCTGTTAATCAGTAGATCCCTTTTAGAGGCAGACCATCTTTGCCATTATTTTTTGCTGCATCTTGTGGCTGTAATTATGTAAGACAACTAGAAACTTAACTAACCGAGTAATTTCTGATTTGTTTGCACTATTCAAGTATACACATAAAAATAATTCTACATGTTAAATTATTTTGAGCTGCTCTTGCATCATCTTTAGGAATATCGCTTGTCATTATTGTGTGCTGATGGTAGAGAAGATTAAGTGAACTTTGCTGTGTTTTACTCATAGAGTCAATACAGGTAAAACATACAATATGGAAAAATTAGTAGGTAGGACTCCAAGTACATTTGAAACATATTTAATAAGAATTTATAGCAGTTGTTGGGGGTTTTATTTGTTTTAGTTTTAGGAACAGAACTGAACTTCTGTAAACTTATCAATTATACTTTAGCACTATTAAAAAAAAAAAATCATAGCCAAGTAAAAGGAAAATATCCGGATGAATATTGCATATTATTTTCCGCAATCCAGGACATTTGCACCAGTTTGGGATGTTTTCAGAACCTCAACAGAAAAACTAGCAAGCTGTCACTTGGATCTCGTGCGGAGATTACAGGAGCTAATAAAAGAAGTTCACAAGTACGGAGATGAACAAATCAAAGCTTATAAAAAGGTTATTAATTTTTTTCGTATGCATGTCCAATGACTTGTTAACATTAAAATTAAAATGGTTTGGTTTTGACAACTATGTGATATTTGGCAGACTAAAGAAGACGTTTCAGGAACATTGGAAGCAGTGCAAAATATTCAAAGTATCACTCAGGCTTTACAGAAATCAAAGGAAAACTACAATGCAAAGTGTGTCGAACAAGAACGTTTGAAAAAGGAAGGAGCAACACAGAGAGAAGTTGATAAGGTAGTTCTGTGACATCTTTCTTTAATTCCTTGTGTTGTCAGTCAGGAACACATTCACCTTGTATTAGGAAGTGAATGCTCAGAAAGAGCTAAAAGTAGTTAAAAATAGTAGTTGTGGCTGTTTCATGTTGTGCATGATATCTCGAATACCTAGTTATGTGTTGTTTACACTTACTTCCTTACCTGTTCTAACTGCTCTGCAGTTCTAGTTCTTTATTTTGTAAATACCTGGATCATATGATAATTTCGTTCAGTGGCTTTTACAGAAATTATGTATAATTGTTTCAGCATCTATTATGGTTTTGGATAAATTTGCTTAGGTAATATGCAAACATTCAATGCTCTTGTTATTGAATTAAGGAGTAGGAGGTTTTGTGTTGTCCCTTCAATGAGGCAAAGTAGCTAATTACACGAGTATTTGAAGTTCCATTGAGAAGAAAAACAAGTTAACATTACTTGCAGTGCTAATTTAAAAGGTTCCAATTTCATGGACCAAAAACCCAAGAGATGAGTATCTTGATGTCGTATGTCCTTGGGTCTTGGGGGAGTTTGATCCATTCACAGAATCACAAAATGACTGAGGTTGGAAGGAACCTCTGGAGGTCATCCTGTTCAACTGTGCTGCTCAAGCAGGACCACCTAAAGCCAGTTGCCCAGGACCATGTCCAGATGGCTTTTGCATCCAAGGATGCAAATATGCTAATATCTCCAAGGATGGAGACTCCACAACCTCTCTGTGCAACCTGTGCCAGTGCTCAGTCACCCTCACGGGAAGAAAGTGTTTCCTGATGTTCAGAGGGCACCTCCTGTGTTTCAGTTTGTGCCCATTGCCTCTGGTCCTGTCACTGGGCACCACTGGAAAGAGCCTGGCTCTGTCTTCTATGTACTCTCCTTTCAGGGACTTATATACATTGATGAGATCCTCCCTGAGCCTTCTCTTCTCCAGGCTGAACTGTCCCAGCTCTCCCAGTCTTTCCTCATGGGAGAGATGCTCCAGACCCTTCATCATCTTTGTGTCCCTTTACTGGACTCTCTCCAGTATGTCCATGTTTCTCTTGCAACGGACAACCCAGAACTGGACACAGTACTCCAGGTGTGGCCTCAGCAGTGCTGAGTAGAGGGGAAGGACCTTGACCTGCTGACATCACTGTAACTTTTTCCTGTTTTCAGGAAACTAAGTAGTGGAGGAAAGAGGTCAAGTTTCCCTGACTCTGTCTTCTCTTTTTAAATCTTGATACCTCTGCCTATTTCCATTTCAATTACCTGGTCTGTGTAGGACTCTGTTCTTGTTAAAATGGTCTTAGTGCCTTTTGTACTACCATCTTGATGGAGCAGATAGTTGGTTATTGTCTTTTCACTGATAACAGAAGTGATCCTGTTGACCATGTTCTGATTGTTTTATCTTTGATATAAATCTCACTTTTTTTCCTAGCTTCTGTCTCAAGTGACAGTCAGTGTTGGATTCTAGACATGAATCAGAAATATGTGGGTTGACAAATGTTTTCTGCCAGTATATTCAAAGTATAATTTTTCTGAATTCTTGTAAATAAATGGAAACTTTTCCGTAGGAAAAGTTGACTTGATGGAAGGCTTGTTTTTAAGATGTAACATTGTTCTTGTTCAGTTGGAAACAAAAAAAAGTTCAGTTTGACTGATGTCTACATGAGGAAAGGAGAAACAGGAAGCACTACAGCATGAAGGGCATTTTTTACTGTTTCATGCATCTTCCCTAGATACTTCTGTTTGAACAATTAGATCATAGTTGAATGCTCAGCAAGTACTTAAAAAATGTTTCCAGTGGGAGCAGGTAACCGTGACCATCACATCTCTTTAGTCATGTCTTTATTCAAATTTACATTGTAATTTCAGAAACATGGTGACAAAGATTGTATTCATTTATTTTTCCTTTGGCAGACAATAGGTTTATTACTTTTAGCACAACAAGAAAAATGTTTTCTGTCAAAATTGCTGAATAACTACTTTTTTAGAAAGCAGGGGATCTGGACCAATATGCTAAGAGCTTAGCACAAAGCTAAATATTTAAAGAAGTACTTTATTGAAGAATCTGAGGAGGTATCTGAGACTTTGCAATTTTCATTGCAGCTGAAAGTTAGTGTTGACTTGTGTAATGATTTCCTGTTGTTCTCTGACGTGTAAACTTCTCTATTTATAGTGACTTGACAAAAATTCTTGAGTGATCCTTATTCTTTCACTTACTGTAAATCTGCTAAATAGCAATTCTAGCAATTGCTGCACCTGAGAATAGACACATCCTGTTTTCAGAGCAAATTACTAGTTAATCATACAATGTTCATGCGTTTTGTCATTTTGTCTGTCCTGCTGAGTAGTTGGTTTTTGTAGATGCTCTTCAGCACATAATACTCAGATTCTGCTCATCATTAAACATGATTACAAGAGATAGAAAATGTTTGGGTTTTGTCAAAATACCATGCATATGGGATTCAATTACATAATGCTTCATGAAAAAACTTACTCTTGAAGTCAAAAAACTTGGCATTTCCTTCCTTTTCAATGGTTAAGTTTGGAATCATCTTATTGCAAAGCAGTCTTAATTATTTTTAAAAGCAAGAGTTCATAGAGCACCTTGTACTGTCAGCATAGTAAATGGCATTTGGGAAACAAGATAGGACTGTTTTCTTCTTGGTAATTCCCCTGTGTGAATGTGCAAGAGTGAGAATCATGAAGTAAAATTCAGGACAAGTAACTGATGGGTTTGATACAACCTGCCATGCTCTCTTTTAATGCCTGAAGGATCCATATTCTTCATACAGTGAAGTATTTTCAGGCTCTGTTATCCTGGGCTTAGAAGACTGCATAACTAAGATCTGGTTAAGTTTTCTTTCTAACTGGAAAAACGGAACTGTAGCTTTGGTTCCTCTTCCTTTGAAGTCCTGGTTGATGTTTCGCCATGTGAACAAGTGCTAACGCTATACCGTTACTCATGATTTTCAGTTATTTTTCTCTTGGAAATTGCAGAATATAACTCTCTCTTTCTAGAGGGCATCTTTGTACTAATACATTTGAAAGTTATAGGTAGTTGTCAGCTTTACGAGTCATTGCAAGTGAGGAATAGTTTCTGTTTTTACTGTGGGACAGATGAAATTAATTTGAAAGAGGGGAGGAGAGCTATTCGTAACTAGAACAAATAATAAATACACAGCTGTCTTTGCTGATGTCATTAACAATTCAGGAATACTTTTGAGTTACAACTGATGGGAAATTTGAATGAGATAAAGTAGGCATGTTGAACAAAGCTAGAAAAAAAAACTGGTGTTCAAGAAAATTTTTATTTTCATCGGCTTTTAACTTGGAAATAGCAAGAGTATGAAAGGTTTGAAAAACTCCATCTCATGTGTGTCATGCTGTAAACTTTGAAAATAACTTCTTCTCTACCACAAACAATCACTTCATTCAGTTTTGTTCTCAATGTAATATTGGAATTGTCCTGTATTTTTTTTTTTAAATATTAAACTCCCAGAAAGATGATTTTGGTTTGTTAGCAACAAATAATGAAAAAAAAAAATCAGTAAGTTATAAAGCCAAAAAGGACTATTATAGACAACACTGAGCTGCAAAAATCTGGCCATCAGTATGTTCTGCATTAACGTCACTTTCAAATATCTCTTAATCTTCAAATTTCCATTGAGGTAATGCCTGTACTTTTGAATTTCTTCCTTCATTTCTAATAGATAACTGTGGTTTTTTGGGTTTTTTTGCTATTGACTCTTTCAGAATAACAAATAACTGTTTGCTCTGTATTCCAACCCTGCTTTTTTCCTGTTTTTCTGTTGCAGATCTAAATATTTCACAACAGCTAATTAGTTAAATTCAGCAATACAAATTTTTTTTCAAAATAAGTATATTATAAATTAGTCATTGCTGATAAGGGGAAGGGATTTAAATGAGGTAATTGCTTTGTTACTTTTTTATGTGGTCTATGTATAGCTTTAAATAGAAATCTCTAATCGCTTGAATCTGAGTTATTTGGTGGTGAAATTTTGTTACGACACTTCACCGTTTTGATGTGGCCCTGAATATTTTTTTACAGATCATCCTAGGCTTTCTTTTAATAGTGGCTTTAAAAACCTTGGATCAGATTCTATGTGTGACATTTGACACTTTTTTGTACTGATCTACAGGCAGCAGTTAAATCAAAAAAAGCTACAGATACCTATAAACTATATGTGGAGAAATATGCTGCATTTAAAACTGATTTTGAACAGAAAATGACAGAAACTGCACAGGTAAGTGTTATATTAAATAAGTTACTTTTAAAATAGGTTAATACGTGCTATTTCATCACTGAAGACATCTGAAATCAAAGCTTTTGAAAAATTGGTTCAAGATAGAATGATCTCTTTTGGAAATTGATATGAACAGTAATGTCAGAAGTAACATGTTTGAAGGGCAAACACTGACCGTGTTTATTGTGATGACACTGTCCTTGAATGACACAGTTGAACACTAGTACTCTAGAAAGACTTTTTGAAGAAATTTTTAGGAAGAAAACAAAATTAACTTCTGGAAGTGTTGTAGATGGATTGTGCTCATGTGGGAAATCCTGTGAATTGCTGGACACACAGAACTCATTCATAGGAGTTTTAATACTGGGATCCATCATGGTTTTTTCATTATCATTCTGGCAAAACACTTCAGTTACAGCTTGTTAAAGCATCTTCCCGGGGTTTACCTGAGGTTGTGAAAAGCCCTTACATCTGTTCAGGTTTCTGGGTTTTTTTGAGGACTCTTAATCTGTATTCCAGAGGATATCAGGTTCTCTGTATGACTGCATATGCTGCTGCTTGTTACGTTTTAAAGTTTCTTTTTCAAATCTGTTGTTAGCTGACTTTTTTCCACTGCCCCAAATTTCAAAAAACAAGCTTCATCATTTCTGCTTTTAGTAGTAATAGTTAGCTAAGGACTGGTTGGCATATTTATTTGTATGTGTTTCTTGGTTTAGTAAAGCTTTTACAAGATAGGAATTTTCTTTTTGGTTGAAAATTCTTTGCTTTTTTCATTAGCTTCAAAGATTAATATTTAGGCATAGATGGAATTATTAGGGAGATTCAGTCATACTTGTATTTCTAACGTATAAGTGGGAAAGCGTTAGGGTTTTCCTTAACTCCTTGGAAATTAAGATTTCACAGCATAGGAATTGTGTAGGCTAACATGTAAAAAGCTGCCCTGTCCTAAACTGTAAACTGCTTTCCTACTTTGAGAACTTCATTAGAATTTGATCTAGTTAATCTCTGAACAGATACTCAACACAGCTGTTAGAGAGATACCACATATATCACATACCAGAACTCTTTCCTCCCATCCCCCACTCCAGGCATTTGCAACAAAGTGCTCAAGCATGGAACTGCAAAATTCTGCTTTAACATGACTGTTACATTAGGAGTCTTGACAACCTTTCCTTGAAGAGTTTGCAGAAGGCATCTTTTTGTGCAGTATCCTGACTTGGTTCTTGTTGAAGGAGCTGTACTCCTTATACTTTTCTTTTCAGTTTGAGTTACATTAGGTTATGTACATTATTTTTCCCTCCTTTTAAAAAAATCTGACTTTTAAATGCTTTTTTTTATTATTGTGGAGTGTAAAACAGTGATGATTGCAGTTACTCAGTGGCATAAAAAGGCTCTATTAAAAATAAAAGTTCAATAAGAAAATTCATGGGTACTGTGGTCTAGGCCATAAGGCCTGTTGTACTTCTCTCTCATCTCTGATCTGTGAAGCTGTGTTTTCAATATATGTTTTAAGTTAGTATTGCCGTCAAAAGTAGCAGTTATCCTATTTTCATGCTATTTCCTTTGTCAAGTATCTGTGCGAGGAACTATCCTGTAGAACCAATCCAGCTAAAACTAATATGTGAAGGAAGGTTGGCTTTAACCCAGAAGAGACCTGCCATCTGGTTTATTAAGAGATCACACAAGCATTCGTGCTGGCACAAAGGCAGATGCAATGTGGTACCAAGGGTAGAGAATTGCATCTTTGAGCTGGTTTAACGAGTGAGCAATGGAACGAGTCCAGTGGCCTGGACTCACTCGCATATGTGTCCACCTTACTTACACATTTACATTTGTTGCCTTAGTATTGTGTGTCTCTCACTGTAACTTAAAATATTTGCATATTAGTTATCCCTAGGCAATTTCACTGGGATTAGGACTGGAATTGGCAAGTGTGATTACGATCACTTGAGAATTTTGGGACTAGGCAACCTTTTTAAACTTAACTAATATGTATCTCACAACAATTCTTGGAAACAAGTATAATATAATAGCAACAAAGGAATCATTGAAGTGTAACATTCCTCCTGGAGAGTTTCCAGAAATGAGAGTAGGTGGAATCAAACTGACATGTGACCACATACTGCTGCTACCCAAAATGGTAACTTTTTTGTAGTGTTCCTGTTAATGTAACTATTGTATTTGCTCAATAAGCATTCCAGTAACTCTGTCATTGCGTGGTTTGTATAATTGTAGTGCAGTCTCACTTTTCCTGTAGACCTCACCTTTTGCTACAAAGAAATCAAGTAATACCAGAAAAAATACTGAACTATTCCATTTATTTGTCTAAAGTCATACACAAGTGTGGCTTTTCTGGATCAAGAAGTTCCTGCCCTGTTTGTTATTTACCTTGCTCTGGAAGTTACTGAACCCCCACTGAAATAGATCCTGTGAATGCTTCTGATCCACTGCAGAGGAAGTTCAGTCAGGTTGCTAAATAATTTTTCTTTAGTCTCACAAAAGCTGTCTGCTGTCTATTCCTTATCTTACAAGAAAGAGACTCTGTTTATAGCAGTTGACTTATTGCTCTCTCAAACAATAAGAGAAAATTTAACAAATATGACTTTAATAAGCTGGCCTTGCTAAATTGCACTGTAAATTTGCCTCCAGTGAGCAAGAAGGCTGTGAGTAATGAAAAGGAGTTCTTGTTTAGACCTGACAGAGATAAACATGAAGAGTACTTGAAGTGGATTTCTTTTGTCAGTGAATTAGCGAAGGAAAATGTAGGGCTTTCAGCAAGCAAACTAGCTGGGCTTTTCATTATGTACTAAAAAAAAAAAAAATCCATTTGAACAATCCACTACAACACAAAAATGAGAAAAGTAATAGTTTATTTTGTATCTAGAGACAGAATATGATGATGCTCTTTGTTCAGCTTTCTTATTTGTGTTATTAGGTACGTGTTACGTATTTAAACCAGGCTGAGATGTAGAGAGAGAAAAAAAGAAATCTTTTTACTATATCAGATATTACAGCTGAGAAAACCTGACCATGCTTTTGGGCTGCTTTGGGTTTTGGTGGGGTTTTTTTGCAGGGTGGAGAAAGGAGAGAGACAGTTAGGATCTTTTTGGTTTGGTTTGGGTTTTTCCCCAATACAAAAATGGTAGGAAGTTACTGTCACTACAAACCACACTCATCTAAATGTCCTTAGTTCCCTAACTGCAACAACCTTTTTACTTAAAATTTAAATTTTCACTTAACGTGGTAATAAACACCTGGAAACTTTCCATGCCTGTCCACACGGGAAGTGAAAACTGCCATTCTGCCAGTATAAGTCCTATCTGTGGAATTTGTTTCAAGTATAATGGTGTAGCTGCATCCATAGTTTGGTTGCAGGAGGGCTACTTATAAGATGATGCAATAGGAAAAATAACAACACCCATGAACATGTGGAAGCCCACTTCTGTATGAAGCACATCCTAGATTATCTTAATTTAGAGTATATTTCACTTGAAACATACTACTACTGAAAACAAAATCAATGAGGAGTGTTAGCATTCTCAGCTGTTTCAGGGCAAAATCAGTGGGCTTAGCTTAAATGTCTTACACTGTTCACATACTATTTTTCTGAGGACAAACATGTTGAATTGCTGTGGCGTTACTCTAGGTAATCATGTAGTAATGTCCTCACTTAGCTGTCCTCTTTTCTTAGTGAAACTCCACCAATCTTGTATAAATTTTACGTATTTTTCCTTTTTTGTCATTTACTATCTTACCTGCAGTTATCAAAGTGAAATGACTCATGATACGTGATTTTGAGAGGTTGAATTTTGAAACATATGATCTTCCTAATCTTGGATTTCAAGTTATGGTTTTTGCTCTGATAAACATGGAAGGTTTTATTGTGATTAAAGAAGTAGGAAAATATAGTTCACAGTTGTTTAGAAATTGGATTTGACAGAAAATCCTATGTTGAAAGATTTTTCTGAGTAAAGTTATAGTTGTATTATGCAATTGCTATGCAGTTGCTAAGAAAACATGATGTCTTATTTGCCAGATTTTCCACCTTGCTAGAAGCTTTTTTTAAATCTTGTAGCACAGTGAATTTTTGGAAAGGATCAAATAGCTGAAAGTGCTAAATTATTCTTTAAAAGTCTTGTGTCTTATCCACAACTGAGAAGAGTTGAGTTTGGATGATTTTGCTCTTGAGTAGTCTACATATAAATGAAGTTCAAGAATGAGTAATAATTCATTTTTAAAAAACGTTGTAAAACTTACAGGAAAACATACAGGTTTGTAAAAAGGAATAATGCTTACTTAAACTGTGTATCCTGAGTTGGACAGCTAAAGATCCTGTCGATGATGATTTTCATTTGTATTTAGCTTAAAACACTAAAAAGTAGCTTGCATTGTTGGGTCATTAACATTACAGATACATTTCAGTACATATTTTTAAAATGGACTGATCTTTCAAAAGTGAAAGTAAACAATTTGGTTAATGATTATAGCTGTGATATGAATTATGTGGTTGTATTATGGTACCTAGCTTTATTCTTTGATCAGAACCTCTTTGTGTTATGTACTGTACAAGGCCAAAATGGCTGTACTTCAAAGACTTTAACTCTTAAGTATAAAACAATAAACAAGAAGTAAGGAAACAATTGGGGGAGGGGGATGCTTTCCACTGACATAAGAGACAAAAAAAATCTCTGAATGGCCAACTGTTTTGGTACGCATTATAGAGAAGAGTTTAAAGGAGACTGGTACCTCTGTTTTGCAGAGTTTTACGGGAAGCTCAAACCAAATATGAAGGAAACATCATTGTCATAATCTCATGTGTTTAAGTTAAAATTAGGTAGTGGAAACAGGCACACATTGGGAGGACACATTGTGTACATGTGTTGACACCCTGATAGTAACTGAGAGCAGATATTACAGGGATGGACCATAGATACTTTTGAAAGTAAAATAATATAGTTTATATAATAAGGCAATCAGTAAAAGAAGTAACATCATAGAATAGGCTACAGAGGATGACCATATTCTCTATAATTAAGAGGAAGGATACTGGAGAAAAAAAAGTAATTTTAGTCTGCTTGATTGATGGCTAGAGTGGTATGTAAGTATGGCAAAAGAAAGATTGAGAGTTTAGAAGTTAGAGATATTTGACATGTCTCTACGGAGTTGTGTTTGTGAATCAGAGAAGCAGGAGGTGTGAAACGTAGAGAGATGGTTTTCGAGAGCCCTGTACAAATTGGAGAGAGGATTAAGTGGTGCTCCAAAGTTTGAACACACTTGAAAGGGCAGTTACAGAAATAGGAAGAAAAGTAGGGGAAAGCAGGAGTAAACGAAGATTTCAAGACAATTATGGTTGTTGGGGAGGATGAGGACATTTTTAGTTCCAATCTTTGGCTAGGAAGAGGTCATTGAAAACATTAGAAGTGATTTTAAAATGGCTGTCAGCTGGAGGTCTGGGTAGAATGGAACAAACTGCAAAGATTATATACGGTGAGTTTAAAGATCAAACAAATGAATCGTATTTAAAGAAGTAAAACATATAGACTTGACTAGAAAAAGAGAAAGCATGTGTATATTGTGAGCAGGAGGAGAGGGTGCTAAGAAGCAAGCGCAAAACAGATCCAGAAATAAGATTTCTGGGTTTAGATGAAGAAACAAGACTCTTCAGTAATGGAGAAAAGAGATGTTTTTTAAACACACTCTAACCCTATTTTCTTTTGGTAGCAATATATCAGATTTTCTGAAAAATCAAGATAGATGAAAGTTTAAAGAGTAAGTGAAAAATTTGCATAGTGGTTCTAAAAGGATATATTATATTTTAAAATACATTATTTCATAACTCTGTAAATTCTGCACCTTCCTTTCTTAAACATTGTAATTACCATGATCAAGATCTGAAAAAGATAATTGGGGTTTTTTTCCATTTAGTATATTTAATTACCAAAATTTAAGGTTTAATATTTCAAGAAATATTTTCATTATGATTAATTGCTTGTATTGGTTTACAGAAATTTCAAGACATTGAAGAAACGCACCTTCTTCGTATGAAAGAGATTATAGAATCATTGTCAAATACCATAAAAGAAATTCATTTACAAATAGGAGAGGTAATTTTTATATTATCATTTGTTTGTTTGGATTATGCTGCATATTTTTCTTAACTATTAAATGGAACATTTCTTACTGTGTTTGTGGTAATTACAAAATCACATCTTTCAAATGACGGTAAATTCAATATAAGCTCAAATTTTTATGGCTTTCTGTTGCATTTATAAGTTCAGTATCGCAAATTTTACAGAATAAGTCTGAATAAATTTTGTCTTAGAAAACAAAATGTTTTGACAATTTGAAGAATTTTTAGTGTATTTCAAAGTTCTGTTTCCTAGATATTAAATTAGCACTCATTTCACACGTAATTGGGATACTTGTGCTTTTCTTTGACGAAAACTTGAAATTATATCGCTCTGAAAATTTTCCAAATTTTTGATACACTTTGCTTTTTATGAGCAAAAGATCTTCCGTAACAGAAACTTTTATAGTATCTTTTCTTTAGATGTAAATTCGTTTAATTAATAATGCTTATAATTGCTTATAATGCTTATAATTTTTAGACGTTTTGAAGTGTAGTTTTATTTGCGTACACTTAATTTGAGTTGCTACTTTCCTCAGTTTTGAGGTTTTTCTGCTAATGAATGACAATCACAAGGGTCATGCTATTTATTTCTAAAGTATATACATACTGCCTTGATGGGAAAACTTCTTATTAACAACATGTGGTTGTTCCTTTGTCAGACCAAAAACATTACAACAGTAATGCTTTTACTCAAGCAGGTGGGAGTTGTGATAATACAGTAGTAACAGTTCACACCCTTAACTGGTGCATGCTTAAGAGACTACTTGTTTTCCTGACATTGTAGTGGGACATGTTGCTGACAAATTCAGAAAATGATATATACACAAGTTGTTTAGATGGAAGAAACGGAAATAAATCCTAGACCCGTCATCAAGCTGTATTCTTTCATTCCTAATTTGTATTTATATTGTACACACACTTGCTACTACTGAAGCAGAGAAGGGATTTCCTTGTAAAATGCCTGTTGATTTCTAAAAGCCCTGTATTTTAAAGGGAAGTATTCTGAACCTTAAGTGTAAAGAAAACCACTTTTTAAAGTTAATTACATTCTTTCAGTTACTGGTTTTTAAATTCCTTTTGTGTGTGGTGTGGTTTTTTTTTGAAGGTGCACGAAGAGTTTATTAATAACATGACAAATACGACAGTTGAGAGTTTAATACAGAAATTTGCTGAGTCAAAAGGAACTGGCAAGGAAAGACCTGGTAAGAGATTAAAAATAACAGAGTAGGAAATGTTAATTTTAAAACTGTAGATTTCCACTCCTAATAAAAGGTCAAACCCCTGTTTGTTAATGTGTGATATTTTTAATGTACTTACAATTTCAAATTCTCAGAATTCATTAGCTTTGATATTAAATGATTCATAGAAATTGATTAACACACAATTTATTATGTACATGTAGTATTTGTGTTCATAAAGCATGGCAATTTGTAGTTCTGAGTCCCTCTTTGTAAACCTTGAAGGAAGCTTTTGAACTATACAGTTCCTTGGTACATCAGTGAAATTTGTCAAGAAACCGAAGTTCCTTGCACAAACTATGTGTTTTCTGCTATGTGTTTCTGCATAAATTATATTTCAAAACTTTATTAAATATAAATTTAAGGATGTATTCAGAACAGACGCTTATTGAACTGTTGGAACAGTTGCATCAGTTTATTTGGTTAGCTTACAAAATTACGCATTCTAATAGATTGTATGTAGATTGTTCTTTACTAAGCAGCAAATTGAGTAGTACTTTCTGAAAGTACTGCTTGTTGGGTGTGGTTTATAAGACTTTCCTGGATTGGCATGAAAAGACAATCTCACTGTGTATCTAGCATTATAGGAAAAATAAAAAGTTCACTTTAATATTTGGGCAAGAATACAAAGTCACTAGGTGTGTGAATACAGGAATTCAGTAGTACTGTTTTCTATTTTCTTCAGCGCTGGGAGTCCTGATTAGCATCTCTGTCTTCTAGTATAGGAGCACAAAGGTTTTTTTCAGAGCAAGGATGTACATAACAGAGTAGATCTTGAGAATTTATATTAAATTGTTAAATATGGTTACTAGGTATCCTACAATGCCTCTGTGAGGTTTAACATTGTTTCATATGCTTTCTGTGATCGTCTAATGCTGATACCCAAGTTGGGCTGAGGTAAGATTTGTATATGGAACAATTTTTGAATGTTTCCTGTGTATTTTGCAATTTTTCAGTAAAGGTTAACAAAGAAGAAGTATGAACTTCAGGAGTTCAAGTTCAGTTGGTCTGAAATCAGGACAAAGACACGTGAAAATTCAGTGTTCAGACCTTTTTGACTAGCTATTGGTGAGGTGTCGTGGCTAGGGATCTCCATCGGCATTTAGGATTCTGACTCCCTGAGTTACTAAGACCCTGGCTAATGTATCCTAGAGCACTGTGCACTTCAAGTCATCCATGTTATTAGTGTGGGTTTTTGTAGACAACATAGTAATTGTAAGAAAAGTAACCTTTCACTCTTTAATTTAGTGGGAGAAGTTATACACGTTCTGTACTCACCTGCTGCTTTAAAGAGTTCTTCAAATCCTATTTGTATTCTCTGGGGCCAAATAAAAGCTTTTGCCATAGCAAATTTCATTTCTTCAACTCTTCTAATAGCAAAGTATTCTAAGGAAAGATAGTGTGTTTAGTGTGGAAATGTATGCACGTTGAATTTTCTTTTACAATGTTAAATTACTGTATTGATATCAACTTTGTAAAGCCGTCATGATGCAGAGGGAAAGCACAGTAAAATTCAGCAGTAAAAGAATACAAATTCACAAGAAGTTGTGAAGCATCAGAGATGGGAGACTAGAAACACAGACAGCTAGTGATATTAGTTATTGTTACTGCTTCTATTATACTCTTTTTATTAACTTAGAATCATATAGCTTTGACAATTACAAAGATTTGGAAGGCAAAGTGAGGAATCAGCCTTCTAGGAATGAAATGGAAACATCCAGCGTGGTAAGGACTGCTTTTTCTTGATTAAAAGGATACTCTTTTGCATTTGAGAACTGTTCTTAATAGAAAGGTATTTTAACTCATGGAGCAAATGTTGTAAGTCTTTCTGTGTGTGATGTATTTATTAATTAGGCTGGAGAAGGAGATGGTTCCTCAGATAAATCCAAATATTCAATGTAAAAATGATACTGACTTGGCATACAAAACAGATGTAGAAAAAATGTCTTATGGCCGTCACTGTTGCTTAAGATTCCAGTCCTAAATCTGTTTGAAGGAAATACTTCAAAATCTCACAGGACTGTGTCGGACCTCTCCCTTCCATATTATTTGTGGGCTAGTATACTAAGTTAGATGGTGGGCCGCTTTTCTGAAAATTTTGTTCTGAGAACAAAATAAACTAAAAAGGTAATGCATAACAAAGTATTTTAGTTTATTTCAGTATATTCTAGCTATAGTTATGGTTCTTCATAGCAGAGTTCACTTGCTTTTATTTATATCTGTAAAAATACGAATGAATCTGAAATGAAGTACTGAAGAGGGCTGTTTTATTGCATGGACTATAAACAATTTACAGTAAAGCCTTCTAGATATAGGCAATTATTTTCTTAAGCTCTCATCTGCATGTCTGAAATTTCTCTTTGTACAGTGATGTCCTTTGTACCAGATTATATGGGCTCCCTCTGGTGGCTAATTTCTGTCACCTGAAGTCATAATATACAGGGGCTTCTGGAGTTTAACACTGTTTTTCTAGTACAAATAACCTTTCTTTCAAGCAGTAATGCTTTGTGAGGTTTTTTTAACTTCATTTTTGGACTTCTTTACAGGACTCTTTTTTGACTGCTAACCTAACAACTTACCTATTCAGCTTTACCACCTACTTCTTACTGAATTTACTTTAAATGTTTTTTTAAATTTTAGTTTAGTTTTTAGTTTACAAGTTTTAATAATACAGTATTTGAAGAAGTTGTATTCATTATTTGTTTTCTTAATTCCATTCAGTGTAAAAAAAAAAAAAAAAAACCACATACATCCAGTTTCAAATCTTTTAATTTTAACTGGAAATAAACATCACTTAATGTAAAACATTGAAAAACAGAAAGAGAGCTGGCAAGACCTGCAATAACCAGTAAGGCTTCAGGTTAGAATTTAGTACATTCTCTGAACCATTTCTAACGTTTAAAGGGACCTGGACAAGCTTGAGAAGTGCACCCACGTGAACCTCATGAGGTTCAACAAGGCCAAGTGCAGGGTCTTGCACTGGGTCGGGGCAACCCACGGTATCAATACAGGCTGGAGGATGAAGGGATTGAGAAGGACTTGGGGGTACTGGTGGAGGAAAAGCTGGTCATGAGCCGGCAATGTGCGCTTGCAGCCCAGAAGACCAACCATATCCTGGGCTGCATCAAAAGAAGCGTGGCCAGCAGGTCAAGGGAGGTGATTCTGCCCCTCTACTCTGCTCTGGTGAGACCCCACCTGGAGTACTGCGTCCAGCTCTGGGGTCCTCAGCACGGGAAAGACATGGACCTGTTGGAGCGGGTCCAGAGGAGGGTCACAAAAATGATCAGAGGGATGGAATGCCTCTCCTATGAGGAAAAGCTGAAAGAGTTGGGGTTGTTCAGCCTGGAGAAGAGAAGGCTCTGGGGAGAACTTATTGCAGCCTTTCCATATTTAAAGGGGGCTTATAAGAAAGATGGAGACAGACTTTTTAGCAGGGCCTGTTGTGCCAGGACAAGGGGGAATCGTTTTAAACTAAAAGAGGGTAGATTTAGACTAGATATAAGGAAGAAATTTTTCACAATGAGGGTGGTGAAATACTGAAACAGGTTGCCCAGAGAGGTGGTAGATGCCCCATCGCGGGAGACATTCAAGGTCAGGTCGGACGGGGCTTTGAGCAACCTGATCTAGTTGAAGATGTCCCCGCTTATTGCAGGGGTGTTGGACTAAATGACCTTTAAAGGTCCCTTCCAACTCAAACTGATTCTATGATTCTATGATTCTATGATTCTATGATTCTATGATTCTATGATATGTTCCTGCTGGTTTGACACCATCGGTTGGAAAATGCTTTTGTCACTGACATGGTCCTGCAGTGTTCATCAAAACTTATTGGCCACTTCTGATGAATCAGTTTTCTATTTGTGATAGACTGTTGCTCCATGTTCCGTGGAAAATTCATTTATTGCATGGCAGAAAATGTCTGCTTTTCATCCACCCAAAGTATATGCTAAATCAGTAACGGAGATGATGTCTGTTCCAGATTAATGACATATCAATGAGTTCTAGCTTTATTAATCTTCTAATAATCTATTAAAAAATTAGTTTGTTCCAGTATGAAGAGTTGATGCCGCATGAAATAGAAACTGCTAGAAAGTATGAGCTCATGTTCTTCCTAGATCTTACATCTACATTTCTTACATGAAATTAGCAGAATATCATCTAATGTGTTTGAAGAGATTAGTGAATGCCTATATAGCTATAGCTGGTCATGAACGGTTTTTAATTTTTGGCTACTAATTACTGTGCTCTCTTCTCATACGTGGGGAACTAACTATGTGTGTTTGTCCCTGTATTAGTTTTTGCCCACTACATAGTTTACCCAGAAGGTACCTTGAAAGCCAAATGAGAAGACAGCTGTGCTGCATTGTCCAAAAAAAAAAAAGGAACAAAAGCCAAATCTAGATGATTTGTTTTCATTAATTTGTTCTGGTGTCATTGTTGGCTGTTGGTAATTTATTAAGTTGTTCCTCTTATTTTTGCATTTTTTCTTAGAACTTTAATAAAGAGGAAATCGAGATTTTTGTTGTAATACAGACAAAAATGGAAAGCTAAAATCCTTGCTGGCTCCTTAGCCCTCCCAGAAAACAATGATCTGCAGATGGCAATTATTACATATGCTGTGCCATTATTCAGTGTGAGAGAGGTGCTGGATCATCTTTTAATTATAATTAAAAAAAAAGTTCATTGGTTTTCTGCTAGCTTGATCCATCTTTCACAATCTGAATAAGCCAGAACATGGTTTGCAACTGCAGCACAAAAGTAGGCAGAGAAGAAGTGGCAAAGAGGAATAGTCACGTGCAAGTTGTCTTCTAACTGTACCAGTAAAAGCATCTAGAACTTGGGCTGTGGAAAACACAAGCCCATAAAAATACTTCTTGTCTCCTTTCATTATCCATCCAATAAATTTAAACTTTGTGGAGGGGCTAGAAGTAGTTTGCATTTTTTAAAACATTGTAAAATTAGTGCCTAGAATCCATCAGCTCTTTGGGTTAAATGATAACAAAAGTACTTTACAATGTTTATTATCCATGATTGCTCTTGATCAGCCATCACTGGCTCTTGCACCAATAGTAAAGTATTTGACTTTTGTCCCCCTTGTCCTTTTAGATATTAGGAATAACAGTGTAAGTCCTTTTAATCAAATGGTGCTTCCACAGACAAGGTTCAGAAAAGGACAGATTAAAATTCATGCTCAATTTCCTCCCTCCATCAAATCTAGAAATTGGCAATTTGGTCAGTAATTGATCAGTAACCCTGGTTTAAAAAAATGTTTGGTCTGTTGCTTTTTGGAGCTGCTGAAACCTATTTTGCTTTATTTGACCATGCAGAAAAAATTGTCTCAAGGCTCCTGGTAATTCCTGTCATGGGAAAGTTTAGGGTTATGGATGTCAAATGGAGACATTAATTCAGGATTTTTTTTTTTTATCATGTTGAAATTCTTTCTGGGAAGGCTATCAAGTAGTCTAGAGTTGAGAAATTTATCAGTGGCTTAGGACAGCTATAATGTCAAGATCTCTACTGCCTCACAAGGTAGGGCATATCAGAAAAAAATATCCTGGCATCCTTGTCAGTGTGCTGGTGATCCTTGTCTATTCTGAGGGAACACATTTAGGAGCTCTGTTTCTGGAGAGCTAACACGTTTTGCATTTTGAAATCTTAAAAAATAATGGTAAATGCTGAAAGCAATGTGGACTTTTCACATGCTGCAAAACTGTTGATAAACCGTAATGTTTACTATTTGGATGGCAAGCAAAGCAGTTTAATCTGGATTCCTTACAAGTTCATTAATGCTGCCAGCATTGCCTGTTAACAGAATTATAAAGCATTAAAGCTTCAATTTAGTAAACATTTTAAAAACAAATTTTACCTAGGCTTTAATTCAACTGATTTCTGATTCAGTGAACTCAACTGACTTATTGGTCATTTGATTAGAATAATGTTTTATGTGGCTGCCTATTGGCGGTGGTGGGAAGTTAGTGCAAAGTTTGGTGTGAATTTGTGATGTGCTATCAGGCCTTTTCTAATTGCTTATGTGGGCATATTAGTTCTAAATGTCTATGGAGCATACTCCTTATGTGTTCTTTCCAAAGTGAATGTGAGAGCATTAATGTGAGCTGCAGCACAACTGGGAAGCTAGTGCAAATGGCTAGTGCAAATACTGTAAATGCACAGTTGTGCTCACTTCATGTTAATATTCCTATTTAGTTAGTGTGTTGTGTTATACTACATGTTTTCTATCTAATGAAGAAATGTACAAGATGAACAGGATGAAGTAGAAAAAAAGGGTTAAGAATAACTGTATTACTGCTAAGAAATTTTAGAAACAAGTTAGTCCTTTCCCAGAGATTGAGAGGCAAAACAAGGGCTATGGAGTATTAAAGCTTGCTTTGACTAAAGCTACTAGCTTTGTATGTGCTTGAATAATGAACTCTGCTTTGAGAGAAAGACTTGAAACAGTGCTGGGTGTGGCATTTATTTTTTCCATGGGTTGGTTTGATAACATAATAGCTTGTAGCATTTATAAAAATGCTTTTCTAGGACACTAAACAGCAACAAAGTATAAATAAACACTGAAAATGGTTAATACTAGTTTTTGAACAGCTCTGCATGACATCTTTGAGCTTCTTTCCCATAAGGAAGTGTAACAAAGCAGGTATTTATTTTATGTTTTATAAATTATTTTCTTTATATTTTCTGTAAATATTGTGAATATTTTAATGCTGCCA